CTCAATGAAAAGTTGGTCAGACTGTTTCAATTGAGATATTTCTAAGTCTGTTTTCAATTGAAAAGTTGGTCAGACTGTTTCAAAAGAAGAATAAAAGACTTTTATGTATAAAACACCTGATTTTTTTCACACTAGTTCAGTAACTAGATTAGATTTTTGAAGAGAATCTAATAAACTAAAATTGATTTTTGAGATAAATCAATAAAATCTTTACAATCTCTTTCTTGGAATATAGTGAGGAAAAGTATGATATCAATTGATAATAAATCAGATAATATGACAGTTTTTGAGAGAAAAACTGACAAAAAATAAATCAATTTTTTGCAGAGAAATTGATTAAAACTATTTAATTTTATTCTAAATTATTCAATTCTTCTCACATAACAAGTGTGCAACTCAAATCAGTTAATAAAGAGTGTAAAAAAGAATTAAGTATTAATGAAAGCTCTTCAGTCACTGAAAAAGTAATTCTTATTTAAAAGAATATGAAATTATAACAGAAAACAGCTCTGTTTTTAATTCTTTGTAAGAATATTGTATAAAACCCAGAGAAAAACACCTTACTTTTTCAAGAGAAGTAAAAAACTATTTCTAAGATCTTTTTTTTTTTATGCATTGACTGCTGCAGAAGAATGAGATAGAAACTGCTAAGATATGTACTACTGTATACTCTCTATCAAGACTTTCTCTCTTCAGAGTCTTGATATTATAGAGAATATAAGTCTGTTTCTATATGATAATATAAATATTGTCAGCAGGATGTAGAGAAACTGGTTATTTATATCTCAAAATAGAAGACTTTGTCAATGATTATATCAATATAGAGTTAATTCTCAAATTCAATAGAAATCTAGTATTGCTGTTCTCAATCTCTTGCAGAATCTATTGAATATTGAGATATTAAAACTAGATTTAATATATCTCACTATGCAGGGATCAAAGGCTCAGTCAGACCTTGAGATATACTGATTTTATAGTTGTTGATGTGCTGTTGACTCATTGTCTGTTGATTATGTGCTTGATATTATTGCTGAGGTATCTTTTTGTATTTTTCTGCCGGGGATGGGCCAGATTGGGAAGGGCGGTACAAGGGTGGGACTTGGTGTTGAAGTTTTGGAACATCAAAGATGGACAGGGTTTTCGCGGAGGTCACTCCTCAGATATCTCCACAACTACAGATCAGGGATCTTCCAAAATCAAGAAGATTGGTGCATACAGCTAGGTCTCTTCACCTTACAATTTGTATGGCAATTTGGCCCGGGGTTGTGGTGTGATAGGGGAGAATGAGGGATAATCCCACACAGGAGTTCCGAACGACGTCTGGTTCATATTTGGCTGGATAACTTCACCACCACACGGGGTATGCGGTCGGTGATGGGGTCAAAATGCTTGTATGATCGAGGGCTTTTCGATGGATCTATCGGCGGGTTCTTATTCGAAAAATCAAGCGAGTTCGTGGTGGAGCGGTCCCTGATATAATCTGTATCAGAGATACATGCAGAAAACAGATCTTTATTGCTAGAGCAAATAATTGCAGCAATTCTCTGTTTTCATATTATAAAGATAAGTTATTCTCATTTCTTTCTTCTCTCTTTTCTCTTCTTCAATCAATCACTAATTTCAAGCTGATATGAAAACTATTAAAACACTCTCAGAAACTCTCAAATTGAAGAGTATAGACTAATCAAATTTCAAATGCAGAAGAAATCAAATTATCTTCTACAGATTCAATTATTCACTCTCTCTCAAATAAAACAGCAGTCGCGTCTCCCTCTTCCCCTCAATCAAACAAAACATGACCTGTGAAAAGTGAGTATCATGTCAGGCCATAATGACTAACACAGCCCCAGCACACAGAGCTGTATATACACAGTACATGCTGAACTGAGAGACTGCATGAATTGCAAACCAGCAGCAGCATCTCAGAGAGAGCTGTGCAGTGTGAGAAAGCTACAACTCTCAGTCACATGTGTAGAGAGTGAATCACTGTAGTAAGTGCATGTGTATTGAAGTAATACTTTTTGATAATACTCAGTCTCTGATATAATGAAAATAGAGTCTCTTCATGAGATTCATTTCTATCAGAAGTCAGAGAATCTTATATTTCTCAAGATCATCTTTACATATCTTGTCTATGAAATTAATGAGAGAAATCATTGATTTCAGTGTTCTGTTCTTAATGTTATTCAAGTGACAGCAGAGTTCACTCTGATCACACTTTTTAAGTATATGTTTTCTAATTATTCACATTTATATAGATATATACTGATTATTTATTAGATAATATTAAGATAATAACTCATCACAGCTGTGTTACTCTCACTATAAGAGATACACAGTTAGTGATGAACATTGTGAAGACTCTGAGAAGTGAGTATTTTAAGAGTACTGCAGCTCTGTGATCTTGATTTTTTTTTATTTTTATTTTTTATTTTTTTCTTTTTCTTTTCTTTTTTTTTTTTTTTTTATTGTGATTTTTTCTTGTTGTTTTATTTTTTATTTTTTTATTATTTTTTGTATTTTACATTTTTTTTTTTAATTAAAATGATATTAATTATAATCTGTGTTCAGAAAAGTAATAATATTTGATAACACTCTCTGTTGAATTTTCAACAAATGAGCACTATATTATGATATTATGTAAGTGAGAAATGATTTCATAGTCTCATTTAATACCATTTTCAATAATGAGATCAGAATGAAAATGTAACTAAGAATTCAAACATATTCTTTATCTAAGACTAGATTTTTATTTGAAAAGTGAATCTGAGATCTTTAATATTTGAAATAATGAGATTTGAGATTAATATAATAAATACAAATCATGACCAGAAGTAATGCTTTTAGGCAATGTAACAACTGTAAAGTTTGATTCTAGTCTCAGACACAGTCACATGATCAGTCTAACTGATCTCATGATAATCACAGAGACAGACATCTATTATTAAATCAATCACAGAAGCTGAATATATTACAGCTAGTGAGACAGCTTGTAAGATAATCTGATTGAATGATATATTATATAATACTGAGTTGATAAATGATGAAAAAGTGAAAATATACTTGCATCTATAAGTTGATAATAAGAGAGCAATTGATCTAGTAAAGAGAGAATTCTTAATATAAAGATTACATCATATTAAGATTAGATATCATATTCTTCACAATTTGATTGAAAAAGAGAAAATCATGATAAAACATGTTAATTCTACAGTGAACATAGCTGACAGTCTTATCAAGTCACTGATAAAGCCTGTATTTGAAGATTTTATCAAAAGAGTTGATATTCAGAAAATTGAGAAGAAGGAATAATTGAATAATAATAATAATACAGTGAATCAATGAATTTTACATGTATTTCTTGATTTTTACAGTTATTGTCATACAGATGCCTTTTCTAATGAGGAAATCAAGGTCTGATTAATGTAATTAATTATTATTGCATTTTTGAAAGATTTGAGAATGAGAGAGGCTCCGGGTGGCAGCTTATAGATCACAGTGTAGTAAGAGAAAGTGTTGATAATTACTACATATACTCTAGTTATGTGCCATTTCAACCTATTTAGTGTAACTCGCGTAGTTAGATTATAACATAATAATATTATTCTTTAAGAGATATTCATTGCTGTTTTAACACTGAATTAATGATTATATCATGAGCTAATCTTAAATAAGTAATAAGCTAACTTAAATAGTAAAATCAGATCATGTGAGTGATAATATCTTGCAAAGTATACTCAGTACTCTGAGTATGAAAGAGAATTTTAACTCAACTTCATAGATTTATCATTTCTGTATTATCTTAAAATCTTAGAATAATAATGTTCTTATAATGTATCTGATTTTTATATTTATATCTCAAGTTCTTAGAATAGAAGTATCATCTCAAAGTTGACTAGTGTGTTTTTAAATACAGAAATTTTAATTCAATTTCTTATATAAAAAAAAGCTCTTAGAAATTCTGAGATTAAAAAATATGATCATTTTCAAGAGTATACATCTATCTTAAATATAGATTTTTTTAAAATATTAAAGAAATATTTCTATTCTTCTTCTCTTTAGCTATAAGCTAAGGTGATTTTCAAATCTCAAAGATATATGAATATATAGTAATAGAAAGTCAAAGTTGAAGAATCTGAAAAATTCTTGTAAATCTCAGAAATCTTCATTGAAGATGGAACTGTTTCTTCTCAGACTCTCTGATGAGGATTGCTCATGACTTGTATCAAAAGTAGATTAGTGTCATGCCGGATTAGTTAATAATAATGCTGCAACCCGTTCAAACCGAGCCAGAGGGTCTGAGCCCGCTGAGATAACGGGTGCAGAGATATAAAAATTAATGTATTGTATTCAAAACGTGACAAAAAATTCATAATTATGCCGAGAAGTACTTATACAATTAGCCCCGGTGGCCGAATGGTTAATGCGGCCACCCGGTAGCACCTTGGCGTGGGAAACCAAGGCGCGTGGGTTCGAAACCCGCAGGGGATACATTAAATCCGGAACTCAAGCACCTCAGGTTCCTAATAAATACAGAGGTGTACAAATCGCTTCAATGAATCACTCTATGTTCCTGGGCTGGGAAGTTATTATCGCATGTATCTAATTGTCACTCCTTTGTATTTTCCTATGTTCTTGTTATCTTGGCGTGGTCTCAACACCTGTATTTCCTCCTGTATAACCAACACTTGACCTGTATTTAACATCACGCAAGGACTCATCATAAGCTCCGCTTGCATATGAGTATAATGGAAGAATAATAATAATAATAATAATAACTTATACAATTATTCTACATCTCAAACAGTAGCCAGAAAGGCGTTTATTCAAGCAGCCACACTGGCAAGTGTGTTCAACCAACCAGTTCGTGAGCTCGCTTAGATGCGGCCAACCCTAATAATCTGAAGAATAAAAGGAATAAATGTCAATTAGAGATCATATATAGTCGGTGAAAATAACAAAAACCACGAAAATCCGAAGACCGTAGGGTGATCTTGGGATCATTCATAAAAGTAACAAAACGGTCCATCAATTGTGCTCATAACCTCTCGCACAGACACTGGCGGTGCAAGCGGACCCACGTCGATGATGTCGTCTAAAGTTCCATTTCTGGTAGGAGGTATATTGGCTAGCGTAAGTGTGCCATAAATTGCATCCCGTCGTTCCTTAATATCTAGCCATTGCCAGATGGACCAGAGACGATCGATCTGGCCATGGTGTAGGAAGAAAGCTGGCTCTTGGGGGCTGGAATAAAAATCCGAATCTGGACGCAACGAAAAGCATTAGTTTGTCTCGGACATCATAAGTGCGAGTCAATGGTTAGGTGCTACCTGTACACCACAGGAGGGTATATACAAAATTCGCTATTTATGCTGAGTATACATACGTTGGCCAGTCATCCCACCCAAAAAGAGATGTCCACCACCATGCACCCCAAAGAAATTCAGCGGATCATGTTTCGAGCCTTGATTGCCCGGTAGCCCAGCGAGACGAGATTGAAACCCATCTATGTCCTTACTCTCTTCAATAGTCCACGTCGACCAGTTGAAAGCAGTGTAGTGCTGGCCTATGAAGGCGTTCATATCACGCATCAAACATCTGGGATTGTATCGCAATGGATTATTTAGGTCACCTCCGGGCATAGCAACTGGGCCTAGATTGGTGGTTAAGTCTGAAAACGGACCGTACATAACGCATCCTCCTCCAGTTCCAGCCGGAAAATCGTGACCCTCAGTTTGTGGCAAGGGCGGAGGAGGAGCCGGACGGTATGTTGGTGCCCTATCTGCTAATGGAGCACCATTACTCCCCAAGCTATAGGCCGAACCGTCAAACACTGCAGATTTTTCCGGATCATGGACATCGTATCCCCACTCCCAATAACTTTTGAATGGGTTAAAACATGAGTATACATTCACAACAGGCCACAAGTTAGGCTGGATTGAGGGATTCTTACGGACTAGCCCCATGATATCCACATTCTTCTCTAAGAGCCTTCTCGTATGCCCAGACGAAGTATCGGTGCCAGGCGAGGAAGTTGAACTAGACAGCATAAGCGCTTGGGTAAAATATGAGAGGGACGCATATATATCAAAAACATACAGTTCCATGGATGAATGGGGTTTTGTTAATATGGACAGCTGCGAACGAGTCAAAAAGATTTTTAGAGCCAGGTGCTTCTTGCTGTGTAAATAATGATGGTTTCGACTGGAGGCAATACACAGCGTCAATATATTTCCGTCTTTCTGCCTTGGACAAGAATCGCCTATATAAGAAGCGCCAGTGAGTTAAATTGGTGTGTAAGTAGTTTCGGAGGGAAGAATGTCAACTCACCACTCCTTCCTAATAGTTAATTTACCTGGCGTACATTGATGGCGACATATTTCCCCACGGTCATCATCCCGATGACCACTACCGTCACCGTAGTCATTGTTACACCCTCCCGCCTTTTCATCGTGGCGAGTATCTCGTCGTCCTCTAAGTGCCTCATACAGGTGGTGGTTTGCCTTGCTTTGCAGCTGAAGAAGGCGTGCTCCGCTGTCAATAAACTCCCGTCTCTTTCTGTTCGCTGTGTCAGACCCTCCCAGTGCTCCAATTATCAAAATACTGCAAAAGCAGAAGAGAGACGCCAGAACATGTTGCTTCATGATTGGTGGTAAAAACTTGAAATTCTCCGTATACAAATCTGTGGACAAATATGGAATAGGCTTGATAGTTAGTACAAAGGTAATGTATAATAGAAGACTCGAATCATATATAAAAACACATTACAATGAATGGGAACGACTGATCCAAGAGGCAGGGAAGTTGGGAGTGATGTAGGATATAAATATGAAGTGCGTCGGGCTATTGTTAATCATAGCAATCCCAAATAAATGAGCACGTTTTTTTTGAGCTGGATCGAATACCAATTGGCGTTATCAAACAGAAACTAGCTTGATAATGTGTCAAGGACATAGCTCCAACTTCAACTTTGCAAGATTTAGAGCATCTTGTCGTGAGATAAAAGGCCGTAAATGGAGATATTCTTCAAGACAGAGGCCTTTGCGTACCCCTTGGGGATGCCTGTGACACCAATGGTATCCAGAACGTCAATTTAATTCGATCATGGCGGGCAAAATGAGGGGAGCAATTCTGCAACGTCTCACAAGCCAGTAGTTGTAGACTAAATAACCATCTCCATCTAAAAAACGAAAATAATTTCGTGATGGCTAATTATGTAGGATATTAAACTCGATGCGAGAGAAAATGCTAATGAGATCGACCACCTGATACGAGACTGATCCAGAGAGTCTTGACCCAGTGAGGAAGATTGCACTTCACACTAGAATGCAGATAGTTTGATCCCGTGTTAACCTAAGACATGAGAGGTGAGTGGAGGGGTGGCCATGAATGGGCTGTGATGTTTAGCACAATATTTGCGCGCAATAGAACGTGCCGTAGAACTGCCAATCGTCGAAGAAAGAAGAACCTATGATAAAAAGCTCCTGAGTAGTTATTATTTAGCAGGTCGACCCCACCCAAAAAAAAAAAAAAAAAAAAAAAAAAAAAAAAAAAAAAGGAAAGAAGAAGAAGAGGAAGAAGAGGAAGAAGAGGAGGAGAGAGAAGGGGGGGGGGGAGGGATCAGACCGATGACCAAGCAACGAACTTAAGCAGAGCCGTGTACTGGACACATGAATTCACACTGGCGTCATGAGATAATTGCTAGCAAAGCCGTCGAACCCTCAATGGCCTGCGTTTTACAGGAGGAATAATGTGTCTATCTCGTTGGGGGTTGGGGTACAAAAAGTGCAAGATACGAAATTGGCGTAGGTCAACCTGCAGGTCAAGCGCAGGGCACCACTGAGCACTAGAGATAAGTGAGAGGGTCTCAAAACTGGAGATAGACAGACCAAACCCGTGTCACATTGTGCACATGAGTTGATGTCATTAAGTTAGTGAGATTGGTCAACCACGGCAAAGCGTTTATAAAATTGAACCAGCCCTCCAACAGAGTAGGACAGATATGTCAGAAGGATGGATATCTGGTGAACAAGAACGACAATTACAGAATTCTGGACTTCAAAGCTGTACCTAACGCCGACCTTGTCGGGGAGCTATAAAATTATGTCAGTAAGGTAACACAAGCCGATCAAGTGAAAAACTCAGAGCCATGAGAGCTATTTATCTCGGATGTGTGTTTATAACATAGAGGAGGTCGAAGCAATCGTAGAAGTTTTCGAACGGGGGTTGGCAGGATAATCCAGAGCTACTCGGGCCCAAAAGCATATCGAGCTCCAAATGATATGAAATAACGAGGTATATATTCTCAATCCAAAAGAAGACAACTGCCCGACCTCAAACACCGATGAGACATATCGCACTGAGGTACGGTACACTTATAATCTCAAGTTCGCAGCAATTTAAGCAAACATTTGTCTTTTCAGGTTGAGTTTTGATGGTCACACGTTGTACAGTACATAAAAACGCGACCTCCAAATACTCGGGTAACTGTTTGGAGAACCAACTGTCATTCCCCAGATCCCTGGGTTTTGACTGGGGGTGCTTCCCTGCTGTAAAACAACAACTTGCCATGCGTGTCTGAGACTAGGAAATCCGGGGAAACCATACTTTTAGAGGGCTTGCATGGGTAGTTATGGCTTTCCGAGGATGTAGGCTACTTCTTGATCGAAACTTTGCGCTGGGACTTGTGAAATTAAACCTGTTAAAGTTTCAAAAATCTGACCTCTCAAGTTAGATAACCATGAGGTAGCACCCGAGTTCAATGATAGTCATCTTATAAAAAAAACCAACAGTAGATTCCTTTTCCGAGCCGTAATTAGCCGCCGCATTGAATAGGGCGATTCCATATGACAAAGGCATGGCTGTCTTCAAGTGTGTCTTAATTTCCGACACTTTGTGATCCTCCTACCCGGGGTCCATGCCTCAATAGGCATGTACAAAAGAATCATCCTGCACTCCTTTACATTATTTCGTCCCCTTCCGTCATGAAGGTGTCGTGGAGCTAGTAATTCGTTAGGTCCCGAGTAGCCAAAGAGAATGTGTTCTGCTGCGTCGCAATTGCGGTAGCCAATAACACAAGACATGCTTTGGGGCTAATGGCAACTAGGGCGGTCAACCATTGAGGTTATTTGTACTCCGTACTCCGTACAGAGGTTATAATGGTGCCATTCGAGCGCATCGAGCTCAAGCTGAACACGCATTCCTCAGGAATTCGTCAACGCGCCACCACAGAAATCCTGGAATACGTTCCTGTGCCGGGATCGCAACAAATTCTGACACACATAAGGACCCGGCAATAACCGCAACTGGGTCGCGGTGAAAGTTTGAAGTCCCATTAACAGCAGGAATATGGAGCCTGCGCTTTGTTTGTTAGATTTCCGCCCAGGCAAGTGTTGCTCCCGAGTGAGCGTGGCGACAAAACAGACCCAAATAACTATCAGGACAAAAATGTGCATGCTCATGCTTGAAGTTTTCGATAACTAATGGTTTTATAAGAGAGAGTAGAGTAAGATAATTGATGTAGTAGAATGGTAACAGGAGCTCAACAAGATATTTCCGTGTTTTCTGAAGCAAGGTGTGAAACTGCAGTAAACTCGACTACGATATATCAGCCCATGTGAGGATGGGGCGGACACTAATGTTGCGGCCAATCATAGGAATTTGTGAGTGTCGAAGTACTGTAACAATGTAATGTACGTACATGTACATGTAACTACTGTACATACCCACCAGCTGGGTATCACACCTGCGGATAGTTGCATGTGGATACTTTTGGGTACGTACCATGACCTGGTGGCGGCTTCTGGCGCTCCATGTCATGTCTTGCCTTGACAATCTATATTGTCAATTTCACTGCGCAGCTCGATTACGCATAATTTACGTTGTTTGATTTGTTTACAAGGATTTTTCTACCTATGGTGACCTTTTCTTAGCATGGTTTAGTCCCTTTTTATTGTCCGGTAGTCTGAGCTCAGCGGGGGATCCAGGCGAACACGTGCTGCTGAGCCTTCCTGGTTTAAAGATTTGATCCAGGGAACCCTGATCATGCCCTGGATGTTGTTCATGGCTTTTATGCAATTTCACCGTGGCTTGCTTTACTACGAACATTTACGCGTATGATCTAACTAGCATGCAGAAGCGAGGAAAATAATAACAAGCTTCTGTATTCACAATGCCGCCAAGAAGGAGCCATCGCAAGTCCCGCCTGGGATGTATTCAGTGCAAGAGAAGAAAGATAAAGGTAAGAAGACAAGTCGATTTACGAAGTTTCCCTGGATTATTTGTGTTTTCACCGTGGTCTAGTTGAAATGGAAACGAAAAGAGTAAATATCATAGCACAGAGGTCTAGGCTCAAATGTAGCTTTCATCGAAGATATCTGACTCTACATATGTAATAGTGTGACGAGGCTCCGCCGCCATGCGGCAACTGCAAAAAGCACAATATTGAATGCCAATTCGCGACACCTCCTGGGGCGGTACGCCTGAACGGTAGAACTGGCCGTTGGCCGGCGATCGTCAATGGCGCCTCAGCACTGCTACCTGTTTCTTTCCCTGCAATCTCAGCGCCAATTTCCTCGTCAACTGTTGATCAGCTGGAAATCTTCACCACCTTTGACAGCAGAAATCCCCAATTCACATCGAATTTACATATAGATGATTTGAAGCTTATGCACCATTACACCACGGAGACGTATACGACGCTATCAAACACCCCAGAACATATCGAAATATGGAGAACCGTCATTCCCAAGGAAGCTCTTGCTCACCCCTTTCTAATGCATGGACTCTTATCTCTGTCAGCACTTCACCTCATTGAGTGCAGCAGCAATAACGACCCGAACCTCCGAAAATATGTCGAATTAGCCACCATGCATCAGCATCTTGCCCTTGCAGCGTTTCGGCCAGTGCTGAATAACATCACCCCGTCCAACTGCAACGCTGTATTCGCGTTCTCGAGTCTCATCGCGGCGCTGGCCTTTGCTTTCTCTCGTTTTGTCGGCAGGCCGGGTGGGGGCGAGCCCGTTGCTGAGCTACTTCAAGATTTCCTTCTATTTCGCGGTGTGGAGAGCGTGCTAAGTACATCATGGGAGCTCATACAGAAGGGGGAGCTGGGGCCAATGATCCGGCGTCCTGCGGATGGTATACCACAGCCGATTTCTAAAGACGTCATAAATGCACTTGATTATTTGCACGATTGCAATGGAGCACATGTAACCCAGCTAAGTGCTGAAGAAAAGGATGCGAATAATCATGCCATCCGCGAACTTCGGATTTCGTTTGAGCGACCCGCTTCGAGCTTGGAGACTGTTTTTCGCTGGCCGATCCTTCTCCCCGAAGCCTACCTTGTGCATCTGAAGGCCCGAAAACCCATGGCGCTGGTGATTCTTGCGCACTACTGTGTCATCCTTTCCAGGTTGGATTCGTGCTGGTGGTCGCAAGGCTGGGCGAGTCACTTGTTCGAAGCAATTTATCGCTCCTTAGGCGTGAGTTGGAGACCCTTGTTACGATGGCCGATGCAAATGCTTGGATTGGCTGATAAGCTGGCGAATATTCCATGAGCTACGAATGACGCCTCTGTTATCTGAAGGCCCTGCTACTACGGAGCTACGCCCCGCGTGGTGGGTGGAATGGAAGATAATACGTATTCTTCAAGGGCAGCAAATACTTTCCAATAGTTTGTGAAGGAGTATGGCGCAGAGTTTGATGGAGTAGATTGTAAATAGTATTTAATTTCTACCTTATCTGCGGTTTTGTACTGTATTTCTATTTGGTTAGTTAAGTTACCTAATTAGGCAGTATTCGTAAGTTACTGTTATTCATTTCGCGTTTATTGGCTCTTGTCACTCGCTTAAATGTCCTAAGCTAGTTAAGTGTATCGGAAAGGGGAGCTTGCGCTGACTAGTTAATACGTCGGTAACTACTATCGGATTCTTCAGCCTCAACTTGCGCGAGGCTCATTCAGTTGAACCTCCAGTGCTTGTGCTCCAATTTGATATCGACCAAATGGGTATCGATATGCCATGATCCAACATGTTTATTACTGGGATGACTTTTATCTTTTTATAGTGGAATCCTAGCCACTAATTTGTGCAGCTCCCTCAGGCAGAGAGGCAAGCCACCGGCGCCCTTCGAGCTATATCAAATGGAATCTGATCGAAACTCACAGGCTCAAATATCATAATATCCATGTTTTTGAACCCTTTTGACCCTGGTAATTCAAGAATCCCCAGCGCAAAACTTCCAACTGCTTAGATTCACTAGGGGACCTCTTTTTTCACTTCACTGTTCACTAGTTCCTGCATTCTCCAATATCACTTACAGAATGCTGCTAGAAACATGTCATTGTCATTCTGATTGTGTGTAATGTCTGTTTATACTTCGCACGTTACCTTTGTTTACAGTAATATGATACAGTCTTTCTTTTTTTTCCATTCTACACACTCCTTTCTGAAATGATTGTTGCCCATTGTGCTTGAGTTTCCTTGCCATCCCTCGTTAAACCTCATTTTAAATATTCGATCTCCTCGTCGAGTCCAGAAGAGTGCAAAAAATACGGAAAAACACAGACGCATAATGTCTACCCTATTTCGTTCTCCGGAAGATATCTCGTCTTCCGATTCCGAACCTCTGCCGGAGTTTGACCCTGGTGAGACCGACGAATGGCCGGGACACTCCCAAAAGGCTCCCACAGACACAAGCACCGATACTGCCGAGGCTTCAACCCGTTCTCATGAATACGGAACGTCTCAGTATGAGCAAGTTGAGACAAGTAATCGCCTTGACCAGGGGGATATCCCCGAACTCAATGCAGAAGGACAGGCTGCTATGATGACTGCCGCCCTCCTAGAATTCTATTGCAACAGTCGCGCTGCTGACATCCTCAATGGGCAACCAGGATCCCATGGACCATATACTCGAGATTCTCCTGAAGCGAAATTCTTAGGAAGGCATATGTATGCCTACAAGTCGCAGTTCTTGTCTCATCATGGTGTTATTGCAGGGGGAGTCGATGGGGAGGATTGGGAAAGTACGAGACAGTATTATAGAGATAACCTGGATGTGCTTGGTATGGCTGCCTTAGGAGATGCGGACTTGGGCGGCCGGTCCCCTCGCCCATCATCGAGGGGAGCTGTTAGACAGGCTGCAGGAATGGTAGATACAGAGCAACTTCAAAAGCGATTAGAAGGCCTCGATCTTGAAAACATAAGGAACTTCACTCCACGTGGCGCTTCCCGCCCTAGTCTTCAAAGACGTATTACTGACAAAGCCCATGCTGAAGCTCCCAATGAGTCCATGCCGCCAAATATTGCGGATCTCGTAAAGCATACTCGTACTCCGTTCCCGCAGCTTCCCATCAACTTACCTGTTCTATATCCACAAGCTATGAATTTCCCCACTTCCCGCTATACGATTGAGTTTGAAGAGGAAGCAATGATTGGCAGAGGGTCATATGGTGCTGTATACCGCGTGAGACATCACGTTGATGGCCAAGTTTATGCTGTGAAAAAAATACCGCTGGGAGAGAAACGACTGCGGCAAGTGCAGGAACGTGGTTTGAGAGGTCTAGATCATATCCTGAAGGAGGTTAGAACGCTCGCTCGGTTAGAGCACCCAAATGTTGTGCGTTATTTCGGTGCTTGGGCTGAATGCCCCAGTGGCCCAATTATCGAGACTTCCCCTACGAGCTTTCCAGTTGGTCATCGCGAGATGGACGATAATCAACAGCCACTCCTGAGCCCCGTATCGTCATCACCACGAAACGATGAATTAAACTTTAGCATCGTGTTTGAGGACTCCAGCCACGGAATCGTATTCGAGAACTCTTCCACAAATCGTGAAAGTGAAGTTGACGAGAGTGAACTCTCACACGACACTCCCGGCGCACGACGCGATAAGCAGAAATTTTATCAAAAATCAAGTGGCAGAGGTGACACCGTAGACGATGAAGTCCAGTCTCTTCCACGCCATTTTGACTTCCCAACCCCTGGCCACACAACAACGGAGAGTGAAACAAATGATGATGTTTTTTCTGACGGGATGGGGCATAGTGGCTCCATGGCCCATGTCAACCGGAAAATTGACCTAGTGAAACCTGGCCCTGTCCTTATGTTGCATATACAAATGTCGCTACATCCCTTGAGCCTGGCAAAATATCTGACTGCGAAGCCCGTCGCGCCAGGTCCCAAACCCCCGCAACATTGCTACCATCTAGTTCCTTCTCTCAAAATCATTCTGGGAGTCTTGGCTGGCGTGGAGTATCTGCATGCCACTGGCATAGTGCATCGGGACCTAAAGCCTGCAAACATTTTCCTTTCTCCAGCAGGTGCGCAGGACAGCCCATGTCCAACATGCAAGAAAGCTGGTACAGAAAGGACTTGGTACACGGCACCTCGCATCGGTGATTTCGGCCTCGTTGCAGAAATATCCCAATGCCAGGATGAAGATAAAGGGCTTCTGTGTAGTTCCACAGGGACCCATGTCCGTCCTGTTGGCACGGAATTCTACCGACCGCCCATCGTCACATCCTCATACCCTACCACACGTCACAGCACACACCATGGAATCAATGACAATGGCGGTGGCCACGGTGACAATGAGATACACCATAATAAGATACGCAGTGCCCTCAGCATCGACGAAAGCCTAGACGTTTTCGCGCTTGGTGTCATCCTCTTTGAACTACTATATAAGTTTGAGACCCGAATGGAGCGCCAAATGACGCTCTGTGATCTGACCTGTTCACCCAATCCGCGGATGAAGCACCAGCGCAGGCCCTCCAGACTCGTGCCTAAACTTCCATCTGACTTCGCAACCAAGGTTGATTGTTCGGGGATCTTCAAAGATGAGAGTGAGAGTGGTACTACGGATATCCTTAGAAAGTTGACTGGATGTATAAAGGGAATGCTCGATCCGGATCCTCGTTGCAGATGGTCATGTAAGGATGTGCAGCGATGTTTGAATGACATAGTATCCAGGTATGAAAACCCAACCTGGACCGGTGATGTCGGAATAAATTAGAAGCAAAGCCATTCTTGCTGCTTTCTTCTTTGGGTTTCAAGCGCATGATTCTCCCCTCCTTTTATGTCTCCATCCCTTTTCGGAGCCTGGTGTTTCCTTTGTTAACTTCTTTTTCCTTCCAACGGCGCTATGTCGCTCTTAGATGACTTCCAATACTAAATATCCTAGAGTTTGATTGTGGTAAAGCTTCTGAGAAAAGGCGAAAGACCTTGTAAGATTTAATTCTTGGCTCTGGATTGCCCAAATCCATTTGTTTGCTTTTGGTGACTGTATATACAGTAGTTCGTGCAGTTCATGCACAGTACATCGCCACTCTTCTGGAGCAGTATCTCACTCACTATGCTTGTAGGAATCAAACGGGAAATCATGGTTATCTCCCTTTCAAAATGGGCAATAGCGAAAGGGTGAAACGAAGCGGATGAAGGCGGAGTAAGTTCGTAGTTATAGCGCAGCCCGGCCGCTTTCATTTTCATCAACATATATCACTGCCTTTCCATATATTTTCCGCGCCTGTAGGTCTGACATGGCATTGCGCACCTCACTCAACCCACGGTATCTTTTTTCAAACGTCACTGGCTTGACGGCATTAGACTTTATGAGGTTCATCAATCCATCCCATATCAGTTTGGTTTCATTAGGATTTCTGCGATTGGTTTCCCCGTATCGCTATTATCGTATGCGCCCAGTCAGCTGTCTGAGGTAAACCCCATATCTCCGGAATTGAAAAGGGGGGGGGTAGGAAGTGGAGGCTGTGCAGGAAGAACTCACGTAACCTATCACAACCGCCTGTCTCAACAAAATCCGATTAACAGACAATTGCTCCATAACACCCTCTCTCCCTGCAAACCCCACGAGAACAATCTTTCCAGCGACAGGCCTCAAGCATCTCAAACTCTCTTTAACCAACCCAACATTATCAATGACTACATCCACCCCCTTCCCCTCTGTGATCTTCCTAACGTTGCTCGTCCAACTTTCACCACCATCTCCCTTCCCACCCGTCTCCACAATCGCATCCACACATCCAAGGCCCCTAAGCATCCTCACCTTCTCCGAATCCCCTAAGCTCCTCACACCTGCAATCACCCTCGCCCCGCACGCCTTAGCTATCTGGCAAGCATAAACACCAACCCCTCCTGCCGCCCCATGAATTAGCACCCACTGCCCATCCCCCACATCCCCACGCATCACAACGGCCCCATATGCCACTGACGCCGTAGCCGCGAGGCCAGCTGCGTCTTTAAACGCCCATCCTGGAGGGATGCGGTGGAGAGAGCCGACGGGGACGACAATGCGCTCTGCAAAGGCACCCGGGCCGGCTCCGAAGACTTTGTCGCCGATTTGGAGTGGGTGTTCGTCTGCTGTATCGTGATTGCTCGTGCGGGCAAGGGGTGTGGTGGGCGCGGGTTCGCCGAGGGCGATTATTGTGCCAGAAAATTCGAGGCCGAGGGTAAAAGGGGGCCGGATTAGAGAGGTGTTGTTTTGGTGCTTGCCCTGCGCGTAGAGGAGATCGACGTGGTTTAGGGCTGCGCAGTGGATTCTTATCAGCGCTTCGTTGGGGCTGGGGGGTGGTGGGATGGGGATCGTTTGTGGGCTGATGGAGGAGAGGGGGGCGGAGAAGTCGGTTATGTGGATTGCTTGCATGGTTTTTGCTATTTGTGAAGGAAGGTCTCAAGCAAGGATGGAAGGTAGGGAAAGGTGTTTGGTAGAGGCGTGGTGGGCTAGGAGTTATCGTTTACTATCGTAGTTCGTTTGAGAAGATTTAGTTGAGAGGGCAGCGCGGAGGTCTGGGTACGTCGAGTCATTGCGAGGAGTGATTTCAATTAACTCATCGTCAACGACCTCAATTGAATCGCCAGTATGAGAGTCTGAGCCTCGGATTAAAAAGTTGGGCCTAGTCTTCCCTAGGTTTCTGTTTGATGCGCATTTGAATTCTTCTTCGCGCCCTACCTAGCTACATTATTGGTAATTTTGATTGGTTCGCTGTTTGTATAGTAGTTACATGTACCTCGGGAGCTAGGATATTGGTATCGGGCCGAGTTTGTGGGGTAACCGGTGCCGAAGCTTATCGGACTTCGGGATTGAGATGGGAGACGTTCCGGTCACTTTCAAGCAATCCAAAATGTACTGCACTAGGGATTTCATGAGTGGTACCCCGAAGGTACCTACGAAATATGCCAGGAGACATCAGGAGGGGATACTTTCCAACTGAATCACGATTGCTATGCGGAAAACAAGGCTACGACAACTCTGGATAAAAAAAGAGGACCAAAAACTCTTTCATTTCAAATTTGAAAACTCTCCTTCGATCCAAAAAAAAAAAAAAAAAAAAAAAAAAAAAAAAAAATGAAATGAAATGAAAATGAAAAATGAAATGAAAAATGAAAAAATGAAAAATGAAAAAAAAAATGAAAAAAAAGAAAAAGGTGGTTTGAAAACTATGGGCGGGGTAAGCCAAAACATACTATGTAACAGCTCCCTGTAGACTGCTCTCTTGTCCCTTGCTAATATATATATATATATATATATGTTGTTCCATCATCGTGAGGGGCGACCTCAATCACCTCAATCACCTCCATCAAACGCCTTCTTCAACGTCGCAATATCAAACTTGATGCTGTTCAACATCGCATCCGTAACCGTAACCCTCTTTGCCTTCTCCTTGTCGGAATCTCCCATCATCTCCATCAAGCATTTCGGAACAATCTGCCATGAGACGCCAAATTTATCGGTGACCCAACCACACTGTGACTCTTTGCCGCCATCCACGAGCAACGCCGCCCACAAACGGTCAACCTCGTCCTGATCCTCGCAAATGGTGAAAAGGGACGCTGCCGGGGAGAGGGTGAAATAAGTGCCGCCATTCAGGAGAGATATCTCCTGGCCGTCGAGAACGAGTGTGACCAGAGTATCGAAGCTGCTGACTATGCGAGAATTTTTAAAGAGGGAGACGTAGAACTCGGCTGCCTTGATGGCGTCTTTCTCGAACCAGAGACATGTGTGAATTTTGTGCGAGGGAACGGTGAAAGTTGGGAGGGACATGGTGGTCAGAGGAAGGAGTAAAGGTTTTTTTCTTTGGTGTTGGGTGGATAAATTTCCAATTGATCAATTTTGACCCCGAGAGTTTAGATTATGGTATGCTCATATTGTTCCTGCGGAGCTCCAGAGATTGAGATGCGCTTGGGGTGGGAAAGGAAGGATCTTTTTATGTCCTGGCTACGTCGCATCAACCTTCCCCTCTTCATCTCATCGACCAACGCTATCTGAAGCTTGTAGATGTGACTCATTGACCCTTGAACAACCCTGGAAGAGTTGATTCTGTGGGATGCAAACCCCTTGATGCTCAAATCCGGTCGAACAAGCCGACAATACGAAATCATTTCAGGCAGCAATCACGTGTTTTCAGGCCACTGGATCTTTAACGCCCATTCCCATACACATCTCACCAAACACCCCCTCATCCATTTGGTTTTCAGGAGGGGAAATGCGTTTGCAGGCTGATCATATATCGGAGTTCGGGCCAATTCAAATTGGGACCCTGTCTTCTTTGAAGCGTACGGCCGTTATTTGTCTTGGGAGTTCAGTTCCGACTGCTCTGCGAACTTGTATCCGGGGATAATAAAATTTTGGACGCGCTCCGCTGGAATAAACAGGAACCCATCTCCTATCTGAAATTAATGAAGAACATCTTTAAGAACATCACGTTGTGGTCCCTATGCCCTTTGAATGGAGCCCCATGTCGAGTAAGTTATTTCCAAAGCGTGTTAAAATCTACGTCTACTATAACCGGGCGGTATTTTAACTTAGCAGCTTCCTGAATGAACTGCGATTTTGGAGGGGAGGCGGGATCACCTAATTGGCATTTGAAGGGTATCTTCTTCATATGGTGAAGCGTTCTTGCGTTTATATCGAACAATGAGAACTAACTCACCTTGCTGCCCTTCATCCTGCTTGCTTGCCCGATATATGACACAGCCGATATGAATGAATAGGCGGCCGGTGTCCGGCGGCGCTTGCCCAAGAACAAAAGCGCATTTTTGCAAAAACTTTGGCTTCCTGTGGGTCATGCTGCATTTATATGATTTTTAACCGATTTATAAATAATATTTCGTCCCCTTTGTTGCTTCAATTTCCCCAGAAAATGGATTGCTTGGAAAAACTTGGCAGCACCAGAGACATTCACACGCGTGGAGCAAAACTGGGCCCAAAAAATTGCTGGTCCACTGATATGCAAGCTAACTTGACACAAGCTTGCTAAGGCGAGCCAAGCGGCCCCACAGGGCCCACCGCTGGGCAAGAAGACCCAACATAGAAGCCCCGAGCAGCGCCTGGACGGCCTGGAACCCCGTTAGCCGGACGCCTAATCCTTGGGGCTGCTCGCGCAGCTGCCGCCCTAGCCAAGCTTACGTCACTGCCAACCAGGGGCAGCCCCCCCTGGAAACATTTTTGCCGCCAATCGGGGAGACTTAAGCAATACCCAGGCAAACATCATGGCTATTTTTGTGGCTCTGGAACAAGATCAAACATGAGCTAAGACAGAATAATGGGTCTGTAGTGGAACTTGGGAGCCCTGAGTTTTCCTGAAATGCAAAGAAGACCAATCCCATCCCGTCGAAGCAATGCCCGATTGGCCTGATCCTAGCAAGCTTGAGTTTCTTTGGAGCCTTGAGAACGAGCATGGAAGAAGCAGATGAATTGTAAATTTTTGGAACCCCAGATTTCACGAGCAATGGCATTTCTCTTCGGTTGCAATTGCAATCTTTTCTTCTCATCTTCTTACTCCTTCCTTTAACCTGTGCGATGATACTCAGGGCAATCGTTTCGTCGTCGTTGCCGCTCTTTTCTTTTCGGTCTTTTCATTTTGAATAATACACTCCTTTCAACATTCTGCAATGGCTTGGATTCGACGATGGGTCATCACCCTAATTTTCACTTTTGTTTTCCTATTCACTTTGCTTCACATAAATAATCTTTCATCGCCCGACTCGACGTCCTCTGTCTCCTCACCACCCGCAAGACGAAAACAGAAAGTTGTTCACAATTGGTTCAGGCGGCATGTCATCAAATACCCTGTGACGTCTATGGTCCCTCTTCCAACCACGAAACCCGTACCAATTCCAAAAATCCAATTTGAATTTGGAAATGAGGATCCAAATTCCAAGGCAATTAGAGAATCTCGCCGGGATTTAGTAAAAAAGGCATTCCTCCATACATGGAAAGGATATAAGGAATATGCCTGGTTGAAGGATGAGCTTGCACCCGTTAACGGTGGGGCGAGGAATCCATACGGTGGGTGGGGTGCAACGTTAGTTGATACGCTGGATACGTTGTGGCTCATGGGCTTGGAGAAGGAATTCAAGGAGGCTGTTGCGGCAGTTAAGCACATTGACTTCTCGTCTAGTAACATGTTAATGCTAAATGTGTTTGAAACGAATATTCGGTATTTGGGTGGATTTCTAGCAGCCTACGATCTTTCAGAGGGAGCTTATCCGGTCCTTTTGCAAAAAGCGGTAGAAGTAGGAGATCTTCTATACATTGCATTCGATACTCCGAATCGAATGCCCGTTCTCCGTTGGTACTGGCCTGGGGCAAGGGATGGTGATAACCAGGAGTCAAGCACGCTAAATAATCTTGCTGAACTCGGGTCATTATCCCTCGAATTCACAAGGCTATCGCAGATTACCGGGGACCACAAGTACTATGATGCCATCCATCGGATCACAAATATACTTCAGGAGCACCAGTTTAACACAAAGATTCCTGGATTATGGCCGCTATCTGTCGATACTCAAACTCCCTCATTTACTAGGGATCGTCGATTCACTTTTGGTAGCATGGCAGATTCTCTGTATGAGTATCTACCGAAAGTACGAAACTCAAATACCGATGCATCTGCCCTTCCATGATCTGGTGGCTAATAATGCATCAATTTAGGAATATATCTTACTCGGTGGCCGGAACCAGCAGTACAAAGACATGTACGAAAAAGCCATCGAAGTGGCCAAGAAACACATTTTTTTCCGGCCCATGACCAAAGACAGTGATGACATCCTGATTTCCGGAACTGCATATATTGGAGGAACAACAATGGTCACACTCAGACCCGAAGGACAACACCTTACGTGCTTTGTAGGGGGTATGGTTGCCCTTGGTGCTAAGGTCTTCAATCGCCCTGAGGAACTCGAGATCGCCAGAAAACTCGCAGAAGGTTGTATCTGGGCATACAAAGCCACTCCCAGTGGGGTAATGCCAGAGACGTTCGAGGTAGTCCCCTGTGAGGACCAGGCGGATTGCAAGTGGCGACCGGAGTCGTGGTTTATTGGTGAAATTCATGACGGGGCTTCAGACAGCGACTACGAGCGCATGGGCCGGGAACAGGGGAAGGTTGCCGGATTTTCCACAATTATCCAAAGGGGATATTCTTTAAGGTATTTATTTTATTTTATTTATTGCTCCTCCCGCCCCTTCCCTATTAAAATATCAAGGACCCTGCCGATTTTAACACACCATACAAAACAGGCCCGAGGCTATCGAATCCGTCTTCATCCTCTACCGCATCACTGGCGACAGGAGCCTCCAAGACAAAGGTTGGGAAATGTTCTCTGCCATCGAGAAGCATGCGAAGACGGAGTTCGCTTACGGCGGCCTGGATGATGTCACGTCGCCAAAACCGAGGGTGGAGAATGAGATGGAGTCGTTCTGGACTGGGGAGACGTTGAAATATTTTTATCTTCTGTTTAGCGAGCCGGATCTCGCGAGTTTGGACAAGTATGTTTTTAATACGGAGGCGCATCCGTTTTTGATGGATTGGTAAATAGATGAGGCTTGTTGGTTGGTTTGGTTTGTTTGGAGAATATGGGTGTTAAATTATAGAAAGTCGCATGCATAGAGTGGTCTAAAGGATAGATGGTATGTATACTGCAACAAGGGGTGGGTGCTTTTTGCATTTTGAGGCTGGAATCGTTATTTTCCTTAGGTTTGTATTATTATTGTGGGACTAGATCAGGCGTTTCGAGAATATATTGACTTCTATACAGGTAGCTATCCCAAGTGTCATCTTGTAGTTTTTTCTTTTCTTTTTCTTTATTTCCTTCCTGGATATCAGCATATGTGGATAACGTAGCATCATCATTTGAGAGGAACGGGGAAGGCATCATTAGAAATAACCTGAGCCATCATATCTTGTTTTAACTTGTCGACATTTGATCCTACAGGATGGGCAGGGGGGCAGGGAAATTTGAAAACTTAGTTTAATCATGATGACAGTCCCTGAACTGCGGGACGTCTGTGAATGCTAGATCGACACCTGCAGCAACAACGCGCGAGCTAGAAGACCAGTGGGGGAGAGTACCACGACCACAACTAAGCGGCATATTCGTTTTTTATCTTTGTCACATTCATGACTTTCAGCGTGCCGTCCGCGATACTTTTCCGAAATAAACGAGTAGGCAAGATGCAGTAATCGCCTATCAACCCTGGGCAGTATGTCTTTCACTTTCCACTATGAGATGTTCGGGGGAATCCGCTGTAGGTAACCAGCAACTTAACCATGTCAATAAGGAAGCAACCCGCGTACATATGGGCTTAAGGGCAGCCGCTGGGAGACACAGTTCAGGATCTTGCTCTTGGTTACCTCAGGAGTTTTGGTAACACCCAAATTTTTGTGGCTAACTTCTGGCCGGAGCATATGGGAAAATAGGTTGCATCTCTGCATGACGAAGGTCTCAAATGAACCTAGCCCTGACCAACCTTACCCTGTGGCACCATCGAGAGGTGTCACGGCACTCTGCTAACCGAACAGACATATCTCTCGGTTGGTCGAATGAGGGGTTGCTTGCCGTTCTAGTAGACATTTGTTTGGAATGATGCACAAATCTTCTTCCATGCCGATCAAATCCTATTTCCAGGGACGTATCAGAAACATTAGTTTCTGTTCTTAGCGGCTGCCTTGTCGTACCGTTCTCCACGAACAATCGTAGATAGAGGGCGATCCACAGCATCGTCAACAATTGAAACCCATTGCTTAATCAAACAAGGGATACCTTTCCCACGGACGCGGCATATGAAGCTGGCACCTCCATTAGAATTTCGCACGAGCCCAAGAATGTTGACAACAGTGAGACACCCTGTTCAGCCACCATCACCAAGACAATATATTTGCTCCCATATTCCGGTCGACACTCTGTTGTGCAGACTTCGTAGCATTTTCTCTGACTGTGGGCCATTCGCCCAGCCATACATTGCTAGTTCAATGTTTCGGGATGTAATATGTCCAATGTGTCTGAAATAAAACAATATGAGAGTACCTAGAACGTCAAGGCAAGGGGTTCCCGCGCGATTTTGAGATTCAGATATCATTAGATACCTTGGATTGTAGCAGCCATTCGTAGCTCCATACTAGCGGCGAACCTCGCCAAACTCCTCAGCATCAAACCCCACAGGTAGAAATAGATATCTGAAAAACTGAGCACCTGTTTGTCCTCTGTCACATCGACTCCTTCAAATTCAACAGAAGTAGCTACAAGAAGAAGAGCTATAATGAGTAGTGATTTGTTATGTAAACAATGACTTGAGGGCTTACCATTTGTCAGTCTTCTCATTGTGGATAAGATTCTGAGCCTGCAATCCCAAGGACGTCCGTGAAAGCTAAATAGCTCACTATAAGTAGTCATGACTAGTAAGTAAAGGTCCAAATAGTAAAGGGCTGCTACTTATGTCAGACTCCTTTCAAATGAAGCTCTGACCACATTGCGCTTCCAGAGAGGGTAGCTCCAGAAATCAGTCAGTGAGACACCTGGGAGTTCATCACAATAAACATCAGATAGCCTTTTGACAGGCATTTTAGGCCCGTCTTGCCATGAGCTCACAACATTGAGCAGCTTGGGGATCACTGTGCATTTCTTCTTGTTGAAGCGAGTGTGGGAGTGCAGCTCATTACATGTCCAGCCTGCTGGCACTGTTTCTGCTAGCTGAGTGCAAACTCCTGAGTTGAAACTAGGCAGGAACTCTGGGGGTACTCTATGGGCAAGATTTATTCCAGTTTGCTGATATATGTAGACATGTGTATCCTTAGTGTATTTGTACTTTGACAAACACCCGTCTCCTGTTCTATCTGCCCTGGAAAATCTCCTTGTAGTGATAGACAGCCTGGGCCTCGGCTTTGCCTCTGTGGATGCTGGGGAGTGAGGGCAGCAGAGTTGACTTCTCAGTGATTTTCTCATTGATGCGCCAGACATGGCAGTGCAGCTTGAAATTGTCCCCCAGATTGCCTATCCAGATGTTGGGGAAGTTGACGCGACCCATGTTAAGGAATAGAAAAACAACTTGACAGCGGCATACTCAGGAGTAGCAATCTTGCGGCGAAAATAGAACCTACAATGAATCAAAAGGATGCGTTTAGTTTGATCTTGCAGTAATGTACATACAAATACATAGTTACATACATCTCCCACCGAGCATACCAGCATAGCATAGCACACTACACTCCAACAAAATATGATATCACGTGATAGTTAACTAGTTAACTAATTGCTCTCTGTCCAAGGGGAAACGTATGACGTAACGCCATCAACGTCGCGCTATCCTATCGAGATAAGGGACTTTTTGAACATACACTTGACCAAGGTCCCATCCAAGGTAACTCGTCTTGCCCTTTATTTTGGCCATACCGCATGTTTTCTAGTTTCAATGGAGAGTTTCGATAATGTGACGCGACCCCTCAAAACACTTATCGAAAGTGAGGAGCAGGGCTCACTGGATGCAACTATTCCTGAGCCAGCACGACCAGCATCTTGTGATATCAATATCAAAGATACGAAGCTAAATGGCACTACGACCCCATTCGAGGAGCAGTCAGTTACCCGCGGCCTTGCCAACCATGTGCCAATATTTGACGAGGGTACGGAGGCTGGAGATGAGGAGCCAAATGTCGCCGAATCCTTTGAACGGACGTCTTCCCCTTCCACTGGGGCCCAGAGAAGTCGGCATTTCCTCGATGGGAAGATAGGAGATGACTGGGTCTCCAGAATGCACAAGTTCTCGCTATATGAGACTTCAACGCGGTATTACATGGTGGGCATGGATTTGTTGGAGCAACGTTTCCGGATTCTAAAGATCGAGCGCACTTCTGAGCTGGACGATCTCAACATCTCAGAAGACGATACCGTTTACACCAAAAGTGAAATGAATGAGCTCCTAGATGCGGTTGATGATGGAAACAAAAGCTCTGGTGGCTTAAAGCTTAGATGCAGTTCCTGGGGCCTACTAGGTTTCATTAAATTTACTGGGCCATACTACATGCTTCTGGTCACGAGAAGAAGTCAAGTTGCAATGATTGGCGGACACTATATCTACCAGATTGACGGCACAGAACTTGTACCATTAACCTCTACAGCATCAGCCCGAACTAAATCTGAAAAAAATGCTGAGGAGGCAAGATTCATTGCCATTATGAATAATGTCGATTTAACACGATCCTTTTACTTCAGTTACTCTTATAACATCACTCGAACGCTGCAACGAAATATTTCTTACGAACGAGAGAAACTACAAAGAGGAAGTTCTGACGGTCGCGACGTTGATCACAATCCAATGTTTGTTTGGAATTATTACATGTTGGAACCTGTGGTTTCCCTTTTTAAGAATGCGTTTGACTGGTGCCTCCCGATCATACACGGATATGTTGATCAGTCGATGATATCCGTCTATGGAAGACTAGTATATGTAACCATAATTGCCCGCCGGTCTAGATTCTTTGCAGGGGCACGATTTCTGAAGCGCGGCGCAAACGATCTTGGTTACGTCGCCAACGATGTTGAAACCGAACAGATTGTCTCCGAAATGTTGACCACCTCCTTTCATTCTCCTGGACCAAAGCTTTACGCAAATCCTCAGTACACTTCGTATGTACAACACCGTGGTAGTATTCCATTGCATTGGACGCAGGACAGTACAGGGGTCAGCCCGAAGCCCGATATTGAGCTGAATCTTGTTGACCCGTTCTATTCGGCTGCTGCTCTTCATTTCAATAACCTGTTCGAACGATATGGCGCACCCGTGTACGTCTTGAACCTTATCAAAGCCAGGGAGAGAGTCCCACGGGAATCCAAATTGCTAACGGAGTTTACGAATGCCATTACCTACCTAAATCAATTTCTGCCTGAAGATAAGAAAATTCTTTACAAAGCTTGGGACATGAGTCGAGCGTCAAAGAGTCGTGATCAAGATGTCATCGGCACGTTAGAGGACATCGCTGAGGATATAATACCAAAGACAGGGTTTTTCCGCAACGGCAAGGATGCTGAATCCGGGTTGCAGTTACAAAATGGCATTGCAAGAACAAATTGTATCGACTGCCTTGACCGAACGAATGCCGCCCAGTTTGTCATTGGTAAGCGGGCGCTGGGATATCAACTCCATGCCTTGGGGATTATCGACGAAGTATCCGTCGAGTATGACACCGATGCGATGAACTTGTTCACTACCATGTGGCATCATCATGGCGATACAATAGCAGTTCAATATGGTGGATCACACCTCGTGAACACCATGGCGACCTATAGAAAAATCAACCAGTGGACGAGCCATTCCAGAGATATGGTTGAAAGCTTTAAACGATATTATAACAATTCCTTTCTCGATGCGCAGCGCCAGGAAGCGTACAACTTATTCCTAGGGAACTACATATTTTCCCACGGCCAGCCCATGTTGTGGGAACTTGCCACGGATTATTATCTCCATCATTCGGATCCACGAGTACGGTCGAACAACTATAATTATATAAACTGGTTCAATCCAGAATACTTGAAACCTCACCAAACACCGTCAGCCGTGGTTCCAAAAGGTGTAAAGAATCCCCAGGTCAACAACTACGACGACTACTGGCTAGAATACTACCGTCCGTTGGCCGTGTCTTCCTTTTCCAAAATCTTCTCAAACAAGATGAAATCAACAATACGTTATCTTCCTTTCCGATCGATCCAAGGGGTTCAGTACAACTTCAGTCCATTTGTCGTGCGTGTGGTTAACGAACCCGATGGTCGTGAGAAGAAACCATCCCGCCGAAAAGGCGTCACCATCCAAGAACCATCAGATATCCAAAGCGAAGACGCACGCTCCATGAACTCCTTCGTCGACTCATCAGCTGTCTCTAAACCTATCCAGAACTGGCTCCAGCAACCTCCCTCTGCCGAGAAACACCCGCCCCAGACCGGTATCATGAAAGCACCCCGTTTCGAAACTTCCGACAGCCCAGAAACCTATATGGCCAACAACTCACATGCTCCTAGTAAAGCACAACTCATCCAATGGAGTCTGGACGAGCTAGTCTACGAATCACTCCACCCATCAGTCTCCGCTGTGGAGGCAGAAGAGTACGAACGCTACATCAATCACCCTCTCAAAGTCCCCCTTGTCGTGACCTCAGAGGACACGCTGGCTGCCGGCTTCGCTGGCGGAGCGTGGATCAAACCCTTGACCTTTCGAATATGCCAATAAATTCACACTCGACGATGCTAACTTGGACTTATTAGCGGAGGATAATTTGCCAGACTATCTTGAGTTTGTCAATGTGAGTGAGGAAGGATTGACAGTCATAGCAGAGGACCACGATAAGAAAAGGGTACAAGCGTTATCGGCAGTGGTTGAGAGGAAAGAGCCTGTTCAAGCAGCGAGTTGATTCGTGATACGTAGTTCTTTGTCTCAGCTCATGGTTATGAGGGTGCGCTGTCTGTACTGTGGCGTACATTTCTCTCTTGCGTTTTCATCGTTTAACTAATTGGATAATATCCCATGACGATACATTTATACCCTACACTTGTTGATCTTGGAGGACATAGGTGTTAGACTCCATAGCTTCAAAAATTTAATATTGTTTTAACGAAAGGAAAATTGTTGAGACAAATATCACGCAATTGTCGGAGCGAAGTGAATTGTTACCCCTCTTTGCTATCAAAATACTCATTATCGATCAGCAGACCACTCAACCTCGTATCCCCTTGAACCAACTTTCCAAATTCACTATCAACATCAATAACTTGTCCCTTCCCTCCCTTGTCTCCACCCTGTTCTCCTATTTCATTACCAGTCTCCTCCATAGCCGGACCCACGCACTCCTCGATCGCAATCCTTACTACTGCAACTACGACCTTAAGCCCACCCTGTAGCTGAAGTAACTCTGCCTTCTGTCCACTGCCATTGTCGCCCCCAGTGCCTATCCCTATATCTACCAAACCATCACAGATATGCAACCAACAGGCACACAACCCGCCTAGTATCTCTGCCCGCCACCTCCAAATTCTCGGCCATGCGTTCAAGACTAGCATTCTTGTCGCTTCAACCGCCGCAGCAAGAAGTGGCGGGAATACTGTTCCAAACGGGTTGGACAATGTGGCTGAAATCATCGGAACGAGATCTTGGAGATGCTTGGTGGTGTGGATACCTAACTCCGAGAGGACCGGTGGGAGCTGGAAGAGAAGGAGGGTAGAGAGGCGGGGATATGGATACGAGGATATTGAGGTGTTTTCAATCGGGCGAGGGTTGCTGGTGTGGTGATAAGAGTGAAGGATGCCGTGGCGCAGGAGGTTAGTGAGAGATTCCACACGCTTTTGAGATTCGGAATCTAGTTTCGGTCTGGATTGGGTGGGTCTTAGTGGTGTTGATGTAGGTTGGAGTAGGGGTGAAGGGAAACGAGTGCGGATTACGGCGTGAAGTGCTGGGTAGGCATATTGGAGAAGATGAATGGATTCAGGCTCAGGTGTGATTGTAGGAAGGGAGAGCAGGCAAGGGTTAAGAGCGTCTTGGAATACTGAATCCAGGTTTGTGCGCTGGAGTATATCTGAGTTTGACTGTTCAAGGGGAGCTAGGAATTTCGACAGCAACTCGCAGCCCTTGGCCTTGAATGAGAGGGTTTCGTCATCTATTAAGGATAGGATTGCTGGGACAAGGAGAGGGAATTGCGATTCAAGTGCGAGTTTGTCAGATGGCTAATAGGGTGGATTCTCTCTATTAGTATATCTCATCTCCATTGAAATTTTAGAAGCATATTAGAAACATTTATCTGTTGTTACAGCGAGCTGGCAGTGGATTTCCATTGTTTTAGTGTCAGGGGTACCGTAGAAAATAGTAACTGTCAACGTACCGAATATCTTCCAATAACCCAAGAAAGTACCGTAATCAGGTACACATCTCTAAGCTTCCACGGCTTGGACTCTGGGTCAAAAATGCTCGGGTCAAATCTTGGTTGTGGAAGAGGGTGGACATTTTTTCTGCCTGCAGCTGTCACCGCGGGCGTCTTCGTCTTCGAAAACAATGGCTTTATTTTCTTTCTAAGAATATCTTCCTGAATAGCAGCCAACTCTCCTCTCGTCCCTGAGCCAAGGCATGACTCATAGTTTTGAAGAATAGTTGAGGACTCATTGAATGCACGCTCCGTCGTCCAAGGGTCCTTCCTGCACGTGAAGGCGGCTAGGGAGGCGATGACATCAATTGCATCCTCGTCTTCAAGGTTTTCGATAGGGCTAATCAAATTGAGAAGTCCTAAAACCGATACTCCAACACTTGATTTTAGTCGGGCCAATTTGTATGTTCCGGGTTGTGAGCGTTTTGAGTCTTCGTCTACTCAACGGTGATTAGCGAAAATACATTTATTCTCCCAAAGATGTTTAAATCAAACTCACTATCGGCAAGCTGCGCGTTTTCCCATAAAACAGTAACATCTTCATTTGGTAGCACAGCGCGGGCAGTCCAGAATGTCAGGAATCTTGCCGCTTCTCGATCTTCCCTTTGTAATAAACCGGGCTGCCTGGTAGCCCTCAAGACTGCCTCCACGAGGAGAAGATCTTCGCATTGCTAGCAGAATAATATTAGTAACGAACGAACTTGTGTATGCTCTCTGTGGCATTCGCCTTAATAACTTTAAACATGCCTTTTCAGTAGTGACAGAGGGTTCATTTGCACTGATCTCGGACCACAGGTCAGGCAGGCTTATATCAGACTCAATCTGAGATGTATCAAGATGATAGTTGGCTTTGTCGTCCACGGCTTTCAAGCTTTTGCAAGCTGCTATCCTATACTGGTGCATGAGGGCGAATTATTGCCACATGGAGTACACATCAATTTCCTTAAATCAATTAATGGTGCCAGTGTTTGTATTATTGGAGCCGGCAAATATAGTACTTGTACAGTATGCAGTAGACTTTAAATTCACTAGTAAACTCATTGGTCAGGAAGCAGAAAATGTAGGATAGTTGAAGGTTGTATTGATAGATCTATCTACAAGAATTATCTCAGCAAGCTCAGACGCTTCTCCAGATATTCCATTGCTGTTTTAACACTGGATTGATGATTATGTCATGAGCTAACCTCAAATAAGTAATAAGCTAATCCAAATAGTGTTGGTGATTACTAGGTACACCTACCCTAGTCACGTGCCACCCCAACCTATTCATTTAGTGTAACTCGCGTAGTTAGATTATAACACAACAACATTATCCTCCAAGAGGTTATGAAGCCCTCATTAAGCTAATGAAAACTGCTGAAATAATGTGCTAACTACATCTTCATGTATCATTACATGTGCCTAGATGTTTTTTTATAAGTGATTGAACTCATGATTAATCTAAGATTCAGAGAAATGCCTGACTTAATAAAAGAATACATGTCTTCAAGACAGAGAAATGAGAAAATGTCAGAGCAGTAAATGCAAGATCACAGATCACTGTCAATGTTAATAATGAATTAGAAGACAGCTTCTAAGATATTTAAGCTGAATGAAATCATTGCAGAGAAACAGTCTGATGAGTTCAATGTATACAAAGACTCAGTTAAAGATATTATTAGTGAGATATCAGATAATACAGAAGATTCAAGTGACTGAAATAACAATAGCTCTGTAAGTGAGAAGACTTATATAAGATTAGAAATTACAAGACTTCAGCATGAAGTCAAGTGAATAAAGATAGATAAAAGTGAAAATGAAGAGTTTAGTACAGATTTAATAAACTATCTTTAATAAAAGAGTAGAACATCTGTATTAATAAAAATTCTTAATAAATTCAGAGATTAAGTAAGATTTATAAAGAAATCTATTATACTCACTGACTCTGTAAATTATTCTATATAAAAAGAAGAAATTCTGCTTATAGTAAGATAATCTGAAATAGATGATATTCTTAATAATAAGCAGATTAATTCTGATAAGAATGTCAGTATAAATATATAACATTTTTAATTAGAACAGAATATCTGACTATATAACTATATATAATCTGTAATTATCTTACAGATCAAATCTTACTTTATTATACTTAAGAAGTTTCAACTATCTGCTTATTCTCTATAATCTATTATAGAGAATAATTTCACTGAGAGATCTGCTATCTGCAGAACTCATCTATTTCAAGAATTAATTAAGATGATATTAAAATCAAAGAATTCTGATTATATATTTATTGAATATTTAATTATAATCAGAACTGATTATATCTGATTAAAATATAATATTAAAGATTTCATGTTTTTTAACAGACTTCTTACAGAGATTAGTAAAGATTGATTATCTTTTATAAAGAATTAAATAAATGTAATAGAGAAGAATGAGAATGCTAGAATACTTAAAAATAATTTTATAGAATTGTATTGAGATATTCTTCTACAATTGTCAGCTACTGATAAATCTCTCATCTCTGATAAAAAGATCTCTGCAAATAATACTTAAGATAAGAAGAAGGAGAAGGTCTCTGAGAACAAGAACAAAGATTTTATCAAGTTAAATAGAAAGAGTAATAATGCTATCAAAACATGTTATTATTGTCAGAAGATTGACCACATTCAAACAGATTACTGATTGAAATTTCCTGAAAAACACTCTACTAGCCGCAGTAAGAACAAGAATAAAGACAGAAATGCAGAGAATACAGATGCTGCTTCTGTTCACAATGTCATAAAGTAAGTATTTTGCATCAAGGAAAAGGCCTATGTGAGTGATTAGATAGGAAAAGATACCTGAATTCTAGACTCTGAATTGAGTGCTCACATTACACCTCACAGAGATCTTATCATGGCAAAACCTCAGAAGGTGAAAGTGATGTTGAAAATAACAGATGAAATAGTGATCCCTGCTGCAGCTATAGAAGATATGAAGATTTCAGTGAAAGAGATGAATATGCTGTTAAATAATGTCTGCTATGTCTCAAAGTTAGAAGTGAATCTCATGAGTATGAGTAAGCTTATACATCAGAGTTATACCTATAAGCAGTTAACATATGAGAATAATTATACTATGTTGATTATGTCTTCTGACTGCATGTTCTCATTTACAGTAAGATTAAATGAGAATGATATCTATGAGATGAAAAGACTGGTTACATACAGAGACTTGATCTGAACTTACAATGATGCAATGACATTAAAAGCTAGAACATCTAAATCCCGCAGATATTGCAAAAATGACAGTAGACTCACATCTAGAAATGAGAATTATTGATCAATGAGCTTTATCATTCTGCAAAGTCTGTGTTCAGACAAAAATAACATGTTCAATCTTCGTATCTATGACATGAGCTGTTAAGCCAGTAATGAGATTCTTCATCAATCTGACAGGGGGTGGAAAAACACTTTTCAACAGGAATGACACTCTCACTAGAGAGGGTGCAAGTTATTAATTGAGTATAACAGATAATGAAACCTGTTGTATAATACTGAGTTGATGAATGATGAAAAAGTGAAAATATACTCACATCTACAAGTTGATAATAAGGGAGCAATTGATCTAGCAAAGAGAGAATTCTTAATATGAAGGTCATATCATATTGAGATTAGATATCATATTCTCTATAATTTGATTGAAAAAGAGGAAATCATGATGAAACATGTTGATTCTACAGTGAATATAGCTGACAGACTCACCAAGTCACTGACGAAGCCTGTGTTTGAAGATTTTATTAAAAGAATTGATTTGAAAGAGATCAGAAAGAAATGATTGAATGATAATAATAATACAGTAAATCAGTGAATTTTGCATGTATTTCTTGATTTTTATGATTATTACTGTACAGATGTCTTTCCTAATAAGGAAATCAGGGTTCAATTGATGTAATTAATTATTATTGCATTTTCAAAAGATTTGAGAATAAGAGAGGCCCCGGGTGGCGGCTTATAGGTCACAGTGTAGCAAGAGGGGGTGTTGGTGATTACTACACCTACTCTAGTCACGTGCCACCTCAATCTATTCATTTAGTGTAACTCGCGTAGTTAGATTACAATATAATAACATTATTCTTCAAGAAATAGTAAAATGTTGATGATTACTACACCTACTCTAGTCACGTGTCATCTCAATCTATTTAGTGTAACTCGCGTAGTTAGATTATAACATAACAATGTTATTCTTTAAGAGATTATGAAGTTCTTTACAAGCAATGAAAATCACTGAAATAATATGTTAACTACATCTTCACATATTATTACATGTACCTAGATGTTTTTTATTGATTAATTGAACTCATAATTAATCTAAGATCTAGAGAAATATCTGACTTAATAAAAGAATATATATCTTCAAGATAAAGAAATGAGAAAATATCAGAGTAGTAAATACAAGATCACAGATCACTGTTAATATTAATAATAAATCAGAAGACAGCTCTTAAGATGTTTAAGCTGAATGAAATCATTATAGAGAAACAGTCTGATGAGTTTAATAAATATAAAGACTTAGTTAAAGATATCAGTGAGATATTAAATAATACAGAGAACTTAAATAACTGAAATAATAATAGCTCAGTGAGTGAGAAGACTTATATAAGACTAGAAAGTACAAGACTTCAGTATGAGATTGAGTGAATAAAGATTAGTAGAAGTGACTCTGTAGATAATGAGATAAAAGCAGATCTGATAGAATATCTTCAATAGAAAGAGAAAATATCTATTATAATAAAAGTTCTTAAAGAATTCAGAAGCTAAGTAAGACTTATTAAAAGACTAATAATTCTCACTAAATTTATTAATTACTTAATATAGAGAGAGAAAATTCTTTTAACTGTAGAGTAGTCTGAAACTGATAATATTCTTAAAGATAATAATCTTGATAAGAATATTACTATAAATATACAACATTTCTGAAAAGAATACAATCTTTGATTATATAATTATATATAATCTACAATTACTCTGCAGACTAAGACTTATTTTACTATATTTAAAAAGTTTAAATTATCAGCTTATACTCTATAAACTATTATAGAGAATAACTTTTCTGAGAGATCTACTATATATAAAACTTATTTATTTAAAGAGCTTATTAAAATAATCTTTAAAAGCAAAGAATCTGACAGAGCTTTTATTAAATAATTAATTATTATCAGAACTGATTATATCTGTCTGAAATATAAAATTAAAGATGTCATATTTTTCAATAGATTACTAATAGAAGTTAATAGAGATTGAACATTCTTTATAAAGAATAGAATAAATCAGATTGATAAGAACAATTCAAGATCTTTAGAAGAAGACTTTATAAAGTTATATTATAACATACTTCTATAACTTTCTACTGTGAAAAATAGTAGTACTGAATCTATGAAAAATCCTGTGAATAACACTCAAGACAAGAATAAGAAAGACAAGAATAAAGATAATGACAAGAATAAGAACACTGAATTCAAACCTGAATATAGAGATAATGATGCAAGAACCTGCTATCATTGTTAAAAGATTGATTATATTCAGACTGACTGTTGAAAGAAATACTCTGAGAAACATTCTTTGAATTTGAATTTCAACATCAATAGAAATAAGAATAAAGACAAGAATGCAGAGAATACAGATGCTGCTTCTGTTCACAATATTATAAAGTAAGTATTTTATATTAAAGAAAAGATCTATATAAGTAACTAGACAGAAAAAGATATCTGAATTCTAGACTCTGAATCAGACACTTATATCACATCTCACAGAGATCTTGTTATGACAAAATCTCAGAAGATAAAAGTGATGTTAAAAATGACAGATGAAATAATGATTCTTGCTGCAGCTATAGAAGATACAAAGATTTCAGTGAAAGAGATAAATATACTATTAAATAATATCTGCTATATTCTGAAGTTAGAAGTGAATCTTATGAGTATAAGTAAGCTTATACATCAGAGTTATATTTATAAGCAGTTAATATATAAGAATAATTATACTATGTTAATTATATCTCTTGACTGTATATTCTCATTTA